TTTATAATATTTATATGTATTTAATTTTTTTGTAATTTGTTTAAAAGTAATAAAATATTATTATTATCAAGATTAAATAATAGCATCATATATACAATTCAAGATTATGATGAATCCTCGGATGCAAGGTTTATGGAAAATGATTATGAGAATACAACAAGAATAAAAAATGTTTTGGATGATAATTTTATAAATGATAATAGCTCTAGTAAAGATGATGATTCCATTTATACTTCCATTGGTTTTAGTAGATCTTCTTCATTTTCAACTAGACATTCTATGGATGATTCAATAAAGGTATCATCAAATTCAATTATTATGTAATTGAGTACGTGATAATTTTCTTAACATGAAATATTTCTTGTTATTATTAAAATTTCAAAGGATTCTCCTTTAGGAGATTCAACATTATTGAACTCAAAAAAGAATGGGAATAATTTGGATTCTTCAAACATTAAAGAATCTTCTCAAAAATACAACAACAGCAACAACAAAGATGACCAACCAAATCATTCATTTAGCGATATTGAAGCAACCGATAATGTTATGGAATTTGGTGGGCAAAACATAGATTTACAATTATATTTATTTATTTCTTCTCTGAAATTGTCAATCTTTATATTTATTATCTATTGATTATCAATAATAACAATAAATTAGATGAAAATGCGAAAGAAAATAGTAATGATGGTCCAAGGTTATCTGGAGAAACAATTCTTGTTAATACTGATATACTTCCTAATAAACTGATTGATTTAATCTACACATATCAGGAGAAGGGGTTAATATCTCCAGCAGAAAAAAATGAAAGATATAGTAAATTAATTTAGTTGATTAAATAATTAGTTGGTTTATTATCAAAATATACTTTAGCAATACTATCTAATGAATGTTGTGATTTGTAATTTTAGTTGAGCTAGATTTTGGTTTGAATGAAGTTTTCAAATTCAAAAGGTCGATTCATCACGGAGGTAAAAAAAATTGATTCAATTATATAAATCAATATCTATTTTACTAATTTCATTTTGGTAATTAATAGTGAATTCATTAAATTTGGATGTTTCACTTCTTGGAGATACAAATAAAGATTATCAAAGGTACAAATTGCATTTTAAAAAAATATTGGATTTTTTTTTCTAATAATTTAAATTATCTATCAGCTTTGTTCAACAAGAAATAGATGAATCGTTGCGCAGATGTGATACTTATATTCAAGATGCAACTAAATTCTTAGAAACATATAGGGTAAATGGGAGTCTATTGAATTATTGGATTGGTGAACTAATTAATAACCATTATGTATATATATAATTTAGGAAAAACTTTCTGTTAAGGAAAATGCTATACAAAAAAATGATTATTACTCATTGGAATCAAATAATTTTATAATTGCTAAACATTCTAAAACAAAAGGTCAATCTTTATATGAATTAAAAGATAGTATTGATATAGGAGCAAATTCTTTAAATGATAAGCTTGATAATATCGACAATGTGTTAAATGATCTTGAAGATCAGCATAGCAGGCAAATATTATATTTTATAGCCTTCAAGTCTTGTTTTATGTTATAAACAATCAATTGGTTATTGATTATTTTTTGGCATTTTAGCTTTTCAAAAGAAATGAAAGAAATGACCTTTGATGTCAATAATGATTACTTTCATGAGGTTAATACACACACACATATATATCTTTATATATTATATATTATAATAATCACAATAATAATCTTTTTTCTTGTGTAGTTGAAAATACTTGAAGACGAAATTCAGCTTTTAGACACTGAAAGAGGAAAATCATCTTGGGAAGATTATTTTTATTTGATAATGTCATATGTTCTTACAGGTTAGTAGTAATGATGCTTTTAAATTATATATAATTACGATTATGCTAAAACGTTAATATCTTTTTTATTTTGAAATAATAGTTATAATGTTTTTATTTTGGTTCATTGTGGCTTGTTTCAAGCTA